CAGACCGCAGCTCCATGTGTCTCCTTTTTTTTTTTTTTCACGCAAATTCTTCTGCTAGTTGGGGTTTAGTCCACTTTTGTATCCTTCCCTTCAAGGCTCAGGGGTGCAAGATTATCTTCTGTGTCTGTGTTAATTGGTTTTCCTTTTCTTTGTTGAAGGAGGTCTGTGCAGTCGTTCTGCCTAGTCCGCCATTTTGCCGGAACTCCAAGAGTTGATACTTTTGAGTTGTGGTGTTGGAGAGGAATGCTAAGAATGCCATGGATTGCTAAAGGGACTAACAAATCTTTCCTGGAAGAAGTGCAGCTGGAATGCTCCTTGGAAGCGAGAATTGCCAGACTTGTGTGACCTACTTCGGGCATGTTGTCAGAAGGAACCATTCCCTGGAGCAGGATGTCATGCTGGTAAATGGAGGGTCAGCGATAGGAAGGCCCTCAACAAGGTGACTGACGCAGTGGCTGCAATGATGGGCTCAGGGACAGCAAGCGTCGTGGAGCTGGCACAGGGTTACTGTGAGTCGGAGATGACTGTGGCACCTAACCCTAATTTGAACCCACCTAGCGGCAGTATGGAAGAAAGGCTTGGTAGTCTCTTTCTGTGAAGATGACAGCCAGGATGAGTGAGAATCGAGTTTTGATGTTGTGTCTGGACAGTTTGGCACATCTCTGTGTGGCTCTTGGAGCTTTTCCTTTTCCTTGTTGGAGTTCGTTGAGCTTTTTGGGTATATACATTGATGTTTTCCTCACATTTGGAAAGTGTTCAACCATTATTTCATCAGTTTGTTTTTTTTCCAGCCCCTTTTGTCTCTTCTCGTTTGGGTGTATGGAGTTCTGTTCATGTTTTTAGTTCTTTCTTCTTCAGACTGTATAATCTCATTGATCTGTCTCTAAGCTTACTGGTTCTTTCTTCTGCCAATTTAAATCTCCTGTTGATCCTCTGTCATGAATTTGAATTCTTGTATTTGTCAACTCCCGAGTTGTTAAATGCCGTTGTTTCCTGGCAGTTGCATTTGACAATGCGCCTGGGCCTGGGGCTTCCCATCGAGTTCCAAATCTGGACCTTGCCCTCCTGATTTTCACGGCTGCTGCATCTGGAGCTGGGGATGTGGGGATGGCAGCAGCCCGTGCCAAAACACGAATACTCACTCTTCTTACCAAGTTCAGTGGTTTTTCTATCATAAGTACTTCTCCATTTGTTATATATCTTTGGTGAATTTCTGAAGTTCTGGAAAAGTTGTTTCTGACAGTTTGTTCTGTTATATTGTTGCTTTTGGGGGTGAAGATTTGCTCAGCCCACCTAATTCATACTTGCTTGTATTTGCTGTTAAAGAGGTTTGCCAAAATTACTGCACTTACTATGCCTTGAGGACTAAGGTGTGCCTGACCCAAGCCGTGGTTGTTTCACTCATCTCATCGTGTGTGTGAAAGCTGAACAAGGAACAGGGAAGACCAAAGAAAAATCAATGCATTTGGTGAAGAACATAGAATATACTGTGAACTGTCAGAAGAAGGAACAAACCTGTCTTAGAAGTACAGGCAGAATGCTCCTTAGAAGCCAGATGGTGAGACTTGGTGTCATGCACTTTGGACATGTAATCAGCACCAGTCAGTCCTGGAGAAGGACGTGATGCTTGGTAAAGTAGAGGGTCAGCCAAAATGAAGAAGACCTTCAATGAGATAGACTGACGTAGGGGCTGCGACAACGGGCTCACACATAGTCCCGGTTGTGAGGATGGTTCAGGACTGGGCAGTGTTCAGTTCTGTTGTACCTGGGTCGCTAGGAGACGCTATCAGCTCAGTGGCATCTGGCAACATTGACATTATCCACTTGCATTTATTTGGATTGCACAGAACCCTGGATCCCAGTGCTGTAGGGTGTTGTGCACATGTGAGACCCTTTACCTGTTCCTGGGGCCTTTTCCGTTCTGTGCTGAAATTACGGCCTCGCCTGATTGGAGCTGAGAGTTATGGACATAAGGTGACTTACTTGTTTCTCCATTAAGAAGGTATGAGAATATGTCGTATGAGGAATCTAAGTCTACCCTCATCTCAGAATGTGGAGGAGAGGATGTGGCCTAGCCAGCAGCCCTGGGCCAGTCTGCTGTGAGACTTTCTAAGAGCTCAGGCTCAAAGTCTCTTTACTCCTTAGGCATGGGAGTCTGTGTTCTCACTGGAAGTGGGACGTTGGAATTGCTGGAGCGTGTAGGATCAACGTATGGCATGTTTGTCCTAGGGAGCAGATTCAAAGTTAAATGGTAACTCAAGTATCAGAGCTCGTGTTCACAGCACAAGATACACTTACTTCATTTGCTTCAAGTCTGTTCTTGATCTGTACCTTGTCTCTGTCACTGGCCCGTATCTTGTCTTTGTGACTGGTCTATACCTCCTCCCTGTCACTGCTCCGTAACTTCTCTCCATTACTGACCCCCACCACCTCTCCGGCCGTGGTGTCCTCTAGCTATCCCTGCAGTGGCCTCCTCTATCCTTTTAACAGCTGGAAGGATCACTCTTGGTTAAGTCTTCATTGTGGAGTTTGCTCTTCTTCCCAGAATCTGTGTGTAGCTTTTCTTCCTTGGCCCAGTCGTTGTTTTTGCGATGAGTATCCCCCAGGATTGGGGTGCTGTGCACACCATTCATAAGATGGCTTTCGGTGCCCTTTCTCAAGCTGAGTGTTTGGATTCTCTTGTCTGATTCTCCATTGTCTCTTCCTGCAGGCATTGATGACTGGGAGCCTCCCTGGCTTTGTTGACGTCATCAGGAACCTCAATTCTCCAGCATTGCTAGAAGACAACGTGATAAGACAGGCTAAAGCTGCCGGGAGAAGAATAATTTTTTATGGAGATGAAACATGGGTTAAATTATTCCCAAAACATTTTGTGGAGTATGATGGAACAACATCATTTTTTGTGTCTGATTACACAGAGGTTGGTTTTCAGACAGGAGAAGTGTGTACAGAGGGTAGAGCCCGCATGCCTGTTACTGAGTGGGAAGCGCACCTTTTGTACGTGGCCTTGTTAGTATGTGGGTGGTCAGTACAGGGAGATTTTGAACATTACTCATTCGTGTCACCAGTGGGGGCATGAGCCATGTGTGTAGAGTGCAAAGCACAGAGCAGTGAGCCACCTCATCAAGGGGCAGAAGGGGTGTTTGAACTGTGAACAGGACCTTCTCAAGGGGATACGGGGGTGGCAGCATCTGGATGGGGTGGCAGCATCTGGACGTGACTGGCCTGGGATTCTAGGACCTGCCTGAGACCCTCAGAGCTGAGAGTAGTGGAGGAGGTGTGCAGATGGGTGGGCGATGTGACATGGTCACCCACATGTCTCAGAGGTCAGCCTGTGATACCCCACGATGGACACAGTTCTCAGGGACTGAGTTTCCGTGAGGCAGAGGGAGGCATCACCCACACTTCTTTATGTGGCAGTGTCCTTGTGGGAGGACGCGGCTGGCTGGGGGGCTAGACAGATAGTCTCACAATGGGTTTATTTCAGTAGATGAGGTCACTGGGTGTTGGGTCTCTCCCTCCAAGGCAGCCTTCTCATGGATCACACATACCCCAGAGCTCTTGGGTCTACACCCCTTCCTGCACATCACCTATAATCCTAGGCCGGTCATGGCCCCTGGTGGCCCCACAGGAGTACATCCCATTTGTCCAGATCTCCACCCTCATTTACATACTCTGCCCCATGTATTCTGTCTGTACCCTGAAGGCAGAAAAACGCATGAAAAAAACCTCATTGGACGCACAGCAGTGTTTGTTCTTTTCACTTCCATGAGTCCCTGTGAAGAACCCCTGGGCTTTAAATAACCTTGTCCATTGTTCCTTGGGGAGTGACAGTTGGGGGAGCATCGGTGAACGAATGTTTATGCTTCAAAGGTTGATAACAACATCACAAGGCATTTGGAGAAAGTACTGAAGAGAGAAGACTGGGACATGCTGATCCTGCACTACCTGGGGCTGGACCACATCGGCCACGTCTCTGGGCCCCACAGTCCCCTGATTGGGTCTAAGCTCAGTGAGATGGACAACATCCTCATGAGGATCCACACGGCGCTGCTGTCCAAGGTGAGATGCCATTGGTGTGGGAGGGAGCCTCACCTGGAGGTGGTCCTAGGAGAACAGAAGCTGTAAAATGGGCTCAGTCACCTGAGAGGGAAGGTGTCCTTACGGCCTGGTTGATGGAGCCAGGCTGAGTAAAGCATCCTCACGGCCCTGTTGACTGAGTGCAGGCCACGTGCTAGGCCATGTGCAGTGTCCTCATGGCCTTGTTGACTGAGGGCAAGCCACACTCCAGGCCATGTGCAGCGTCCTCACGGCCCTGTTGACTGAGTGCAGGCCGCCTGCCAGGCTGCGTACAGTATCCTCATGGCCCTGTTGAGGCCATACATCAGGCTGCAGGAAGTGCTTCCTGGACTTAGTTGTGTAATATCCCCAGCAGTCCTAGAGAACAGGGTCTGATAGGGTCTCCATCCAACTGTTCATTCAGCCTTTGTCCAGTACAGTCTTACTGTCTGGGCACTTGGGTCACTCAGTGAAGCAAACCTATCTGCCCTCATGGAGCTGACCTTCTGGCCTGGAGAGACAAGCAATAATGAAGCACAGGCCCTAAATAGGTAACAGAGAGTGTGCTGGGAGGTGGTTGGTGCCATGGAGAACAGGAGCAGGGGGACCCTTCCTTGAGGAGGTCTGGGATGTGAGCAGGTACTTGAAGGAAGGGAGGAGGTAGGTGCTCTGCATCTGTGAGGGGCATTCCAAGCAGACAAGATGCCCTAGCAGGTGAGAGTAAGGAGTGGGCGTGTCCAGTGAGTAGATGTGGCCTAGGAAGGGCATCAGAGGAGTCCAAGAACGGGTGTGTCCAAAGAATGGGTGTGTACAACAGGAGGCCTGTGTGGCTGGACCTTGAGCCCTGTGAGTAGGGCTGGGTCATTAGGCGTGAGCGTGCTCTGAGCTCTTTTCTGGTGGTTTTGGTTTTAATCCTCATAACTTTTCAGAATAGATCCTCTTAGCCTCTCCATCTGACAGATGAGGAAGCGGAGGCAGGAGGGAATGTGCTGAAGGTCCCACAGCTCAGAAGTCAGATCGAATCATCTGCATGCAGGGCCTGGCTGGTGTTGGTGCAAACACGTGCTGTCCACTGGTTCCATTTGTGATGTTATTAGTCCTTACTCCTTCCTTCTGGCTGTAAGCTCTTTGGAAAACAGTGTGGTTCCTTCGGAGAGAGTGATTTGTGCCATGAAGCCAAAGTCTTGAGGCGGTTGCCTCACCAAGAGTATGTTGCCTTCAGGCTGAAGACGCCTGAAGTATTTTCCTCTGCCTTACAGGAGAGGGAGGCTCTTCTGCCCAGCCTGCTCGTTCTCTGTGGGGATCACGGCATGTCTGAGGCGGGCAGTCACGGGGCCTCTTCCACGGAGGAGGTGAACACGCCTCTGGTGCTGATCAGCTCTGCATTCGGGAGGAAACCTGGTGAGCGCTTAGGAACGTAGAGCATCTGAACTGTGCTTCCTTGTTCTGTTTCATGTAGTCTGAATTTACTTTTCAAAAACCAGCTTTTAGAAGCCTGTAAGCATGAGATACCCTGAGCAAAGCGAGAATGAACATAATGAGATGAGGGCCAGTTGGGGTTAGAATTTGCATTCCATCCTGATTCGCGGTTGTAGCAGTGAGTTTGCCTAATGCCCGCAGTTCTGTCAGTTTCTGCCTCATGTATCTGCTGCTCTGCCATTAGGTGTATGCATAGGATTGTGCGTCTTGGAGAGTTGGCCCCTTCCTCACTGTGTAAAACCCTCACTGTCCTGACACTTTCCTTGGCCCTGAAGTCTACTTTATCTGAGGTCAGTATAGCCATGCCAGCTTTTTTCTGATTGGTGTCAGTGGGTGTATCTTTCTTCATGTCTTACTTTGAATCTGTGTCTTCACATTCAAAGTGGGTTTCTTGGGGACAACATGTAGCTGGTCTGGCATTTTTATCCACTTATACAGTCTCTGTCTTTTACTTGGTGTATTTAGACCATTCACTTACAAAGTGATTATTGATGTAGTTGGATTCCTAGCTACCATATTTAAATGTATTCTGTTTGTTGTTTGTGCTGTTTTTGCTTTCTCTAATGTAGTTGGAGGAGCTCTGGTAGCATAGTACCTACGGCACTTGACTGCTAACCAGAAGGCTGGCAGTTCAAACCCACCAGCCACTCCTCAGAAGGAAGGTTGGGCAATCTACTTCCGTAGTGATACCACCTCGGAAACCCAAGGAGGGCTCGTTATGAGTCATGTCTGACTCGATGGCACATAACAACAACAGTGTAGCTGGACATTTTGTATGATTCCATTTTTTCTTCTCTGTTAGACTATCAATTATACTTATTAATAATATTTTTTTAGTGGCTGCCCTAGAGTGTGCCATATACACTTAAAAGTGTAGTCTGAGTCCACTCTCAAATAACTGTACCACTTTGCAGGTGGTGCAGGTGCAGTAACATGGTGTGCCCAGTCCCTTCTCCCATCTCTCATAACACTGCAGTCACACCTGTTCCATAAGTGTGATCACCCATCCTTGTAACACTGGAGTCACACCTCGTACCTTCTATTAGTGTGTCACTTTCTGTAAGTGTGATTACTTGTCCTTCTAACACTGCAGTTACACCTGTCATCTTCCATAAGTGTGATCACTAATCCTTGCAACACTGCAGTCACACCTCTCACCTTCCATGAGTGTGATCACCTGTCCTTGTAACACTGCAGTCATGCCTGTCACCTTCCATGAGCTGTAATCACTCATCCTTGTAACACTGCTGTCATGCCTGTCACCTTCTGTAAGCTATAATCATCCAGAATATTGCTGCTGTTAGTTAATAAGAAAAATAAAAGGCTTTAGTTTATCTTCATTTATTCTTTCTCAAACATCTTCTTTCTTGATGTGGATCTGATTTTCTGACCTATACCATTTTCCTTCTCTGAAGCACTTGTTTCAACATTTCTTCTTGGCCTGATTCTTAAAAGTATTGTTTTTAACAAGTGTATTATATGATCACTACTGCTTGGATGTCTTGGACTATTAATAAATGTTGTGAGTCACTTAGAGACATCTAAGCCACATGTGTGAACTGGAAACCAGAATCCAAACCCACTGCTATTGAGGCGATTCTAACTCATAGCGACCCTGTAGGACAGAGTAGAGCTGCCCTGTGGGGTTCCAAGGTTGTGAATCTTTACAGAAGCAGACTGCCTCATCTCTCTCCCATGGAATGGCTAATGGGTGCAAACTACCAACCTTTTGGTTAGCAGCCAAGCGCTTAACCACCGTGCCACCAGGGCTCCCTTATATGCGCTGAAGGAAACGTAAATACTTCTTAAAAGTATCCATTATTTCAACTCATAATTTAGTCCCTTCAGATCAGAATTTGCTTCTTACGGGCATTACGCACACTCCAGGCCTCTCACCAGGCACACATCCCTCCCTGTGACCTGTACCCCATGGCCCCTCTGCTCTGTGCCACATCACCACCCCTTCTTAAACTGCTGTGGGCAGCTTTTGGTCACTTTGCTGAGCTGTTCCCAGGCATCCCTGCCAGTGACCTGCACCCCACAGCCCCTCTGCTACGTGTCACCACCCATTCTTACACTGCTATGGGTGGCCTCCGCCCACTTCCCTGAGCTGCTCCTTGGTGGGTCACCAGTTATTCCAGTGTTTCAGTGAAGCCCAGTCAACACTTGCTCTGTGGACCCTGACTTCAAGTAGTGTTCATATAATACACCTGCACCGCTGGCTCCTTGGCCTCTGGACATCATACTTTCCTGACTTCCTCCCACCTCTCACTTCTTGCCATCTTTGCTGGCTTAGTGTCTTCCTGATCTTCGTCCAGTCTGTCTCTTCCCTCCACCCAAGTTCATTCATGAGACTTCATCCACCTCCATGGTGTCCATCCATGCCTCCTCCCCTGACCTCCAAATTGTTGACTCAACTGGCTGGCTGATGATTCCACTGGGGTCCCTTGAGAGGGTAAGTGCAACAGGTTCATGCTCTCACTGTGTCCATGTTATGAGCCGGCCTGTACTTTGACAGGTTCACGCCCTCACTGGGTCTTATGTTTTGAGCTGGATTGTATGGTGACAAGTTCACACTTTTGCTGTCTCTCTGTTATGAGCTGGGACTCTGCTTTTTAACACTTTCTTGAGATATAATTCACATGCCATGCAATGTATCCATTTACAGTGTACTACTCACAGGTTTGGGAGCTCTGGTAGCATAGTGGCTAAAGCACTTGACTGCTAACCAGAAGGCTGGCGGTTCAAACCCACCAGGCACTCCTCGGAAGGAAGGTTGGGCAATCCTACTTCCGTAGTGATACTGCCTCGGAAACCCAAGGAGGGGTCGCTATGAGTCGGGGCCGACTCGACGGCACATAACAACAACAACAACTAACAGGTTTTAGTTTATTCACAGAGTTGTGCAATGATGTCACAATCAATTTTAGAACACCTTCATTGCCCCATTTCTTGGTTGAATATTAAAACAACAACTTAGCTGTACAGAGAATGGATTGTAGCCTGGCTGGGATGGAAGTGCAAAAGAGGAGATGGTGGCAGTGAAGGTGGAGACCAGTGGGTGGAGGACATGCTGCTGGTCTCAGAGTGATCTTCTGAAATGCTTAAAATCTTTAAGTGCCTTCCTATTTGCATACAGGATTAAGTTCAGACTATCTTGTATGACCTGCTGTGTGCTGTGCCATGAGATGACAACTATTAAAACAGTTGTGCTGGCAAGAACTAGTCAGATGGATAGATGGAACAAAATCAAGAGACTAGACCGTACAGGGGGTTTGCTGTGTGATAAAGGTAGCGTTGCAGATGAGTGGGGAAGACAGCCTGTGTGGGGTGTGGTTATCTCAGGTAATCTCTGAGTCGCCGCTCATTCTTTGCATTGGTATACATTCCAGATGATCAAAAACTGCCCTAACTGAATTAAGACACCCAGCCACTCGTCTGTCACTTGGTCGTGCTGTGGTGGTTCGCATGTTGCGCTCATGCTGGAGGCTATGTCACCGGTATTTCAGAAAGCAGCAGGGTCACCCATGGTGGTCAGGTTTCAGCAGAGCTTCCACACTAAGAGATTAGAACGAAGGGAGGGGCCATCCACTTGTCAAAGAATTGTCCGGCAAAAACCTTATGAATAGCAGTGAAACAGTGTCTGATATATTACTGGAAAACTTTATGATTAGCAGTGAAACATCGTCTGCTATGAGGAGGTGAAAGGGAGTTTCCTCGGGTGTGGCCTGTTTCCAGTATATATGGACTTCTTGGCAAAACTCTGACTTTGCTTGATCTGGATCCTGCATCCGGCTCATCCTCATCTGATCTCCAGTTCTTCTTGGACTTGAACCAGTGGCCTGCTGTACTGCCTGCTGATGTTGGGATTGTTGCCTTTGCAGTCTCTGAGCCCTCAGCCTGCCATCTTATATTCTGATCTTAGATTTGTCGGCCTCTGCAGTTAGCAGCCAGCTGTGTTGATGTTGTTGTTATTAGGTGCCGTTGAGTCGTTTCTGACTTACAGCAACCCCATGCACAGCAGAACGAAACACCGCCCGATCCTGCGCCAGCTCCGTGATCCTTGCTATACTTGAGCCCATTGTCACAGCCACTGTGTCAGTCCATCTTGTCGAAGGCCTTCCCCTCTTTCATCGACCCTCCATCTTACCAAGCATGACATCCTTCTCCAGGGAATGGTCGCCTCTGATAACATGACCAAAGTAGGTGAGACGAAATCTGGCCATCTTCGCTTCCAAGGAGCGTCTCGGCTGTACTTCCTCCAAGACAGATCTGTTAGTTCTTTCGACAGTCCATGGTACTTCAGCATTCTTCACCAGCACCACAACTCAAAAGCATCAACTCTTCTTTAGTCTTCCTTATTCATTGTCCAGCTTTCACATGCATACGAGGCGATTGAAAATATCACGGCTTCTGTCAGGCACACCTTAGTCCTCAAGGAGACATCCTTGCCCCTCAGCACTTGAAAGAGTTCCTTTGCAGCTGACCTGCCCAGTGCTACACATTGTCTAATGTCCTGATTGCTGCTTCCATTGGCATCTATTGTAAAACCAGGCAACGTGAATTCTTTGACAACCTCAATCTTTTCTCCATTTATCATGATGCTGCTTATTGGTCCAGTTGTGAGGATTTTTGTCTTCTTTATATTGAGATGTAATCCATACTGCAGACTCTGTTCCTCAGTCTTCATCAGTAAGTGCCTCCAGTCATCCTCACTTTGAGCGAGCAAAGTTCTACCCTCAGCGTATCTCAGGTTGTTAATGATTCTTCCTCTAATCCTGATGCCACGTTTTTCTTCACATAGTCCAGCTTCTCAGATTATTTGCTCAGCATATAGGTTGAATGAGTATGGGGAAAGGGTACAGCCCTGACACACTCCCTTCCTTTGTCCCCTTCTTCCATTCAAATGACAGGTCAAGGTA